AATTCACAATTTCAAATGAATATACATTCCCCTCCACCCATTGCCTTATTTGTTCAAGATTCCATTATTATGGAATCTTATGGAAGGAGGAGAACCATTCTGTTGTGATTCAATGCAAGAAATGAAAAGTTAGACTTTTTTAAACAGCATATCTGAATTTCGATCAATCTACGGAAATCTGGGAATCTAATTTACTAAACTTTGTATTTAAGGATTAGGTAAGAAGACTGCAGAAAGAAGAACAACCAGCACAAGAGTATATAACTATATCTATATCTATAACTATATATCTATATCTATATCTATTTATATGTTATTAATTCCTGCTGCTGTAATTTAAAACAAAACAAAACAAAACACAGTAATATATTGTAATCATAAACATCTCTTTAAATACTTATGTCAGGTCACTAGTATTGCACCTGAGTTTGGTGCAACATGTCCCCAGAAAGCAGATGTACTCTGTCAGTTTGGCAATAGACCAATGAAATCTGTTAGGCATTATCATAGCCTCCATGAACTACTAGTTCACCTTCAGTGAGGGAGATAGAATGAGACAGATGGTAATTAATTCTGAACAGGTCAAAAGGAATTACTGTGAAAAGAAGAGAGAAACGTTCTGGACATTAGAGCTCCTGACTTCAGTTGCTCGATGCTACTGGATCTTAGAAGGGAAATGTCACCATATATATATGCCTCTGTTTAGCTACATGTAAACTGGATGTGACATAACCCACCTTACAGTTTAATATTACAGTAGCAGTAAATATAGGTACATTGATAAACCAGTTTAAAATACAATGCTTTGAAATTTTTGAAGTTTAAATACATCTTGTGAATATATTTACTATTATTTGATAGCACACTTTTTTGTTTGCTTGTTTGTTTGAAAGTGTTTGCTTTACCTCTAACTTCAGTGTAAATTTTGTCTAATCATCTTCCTGAAGTCTACTTCTCCTTATTGCAGCATCTGTTTCACTGTAGCTGTCACTGGGGCACTGAGAAAAGGACCAGATTATGGGCTATGAACTTTAAATGTTATTAGGAATATGATATAAAGAAGTGCTTGTTTTGTTTTGTTTCATTTTCCTCAGCTGAACAATGTCTGTCTGACTCACTTATTTCTGCATCAGCTGGAACACCAGTCACTTTTAAATACCAAGATAGTATGTTACATAACTGCATATGAGCTGCTGTGCTTTTTGACCTTAGAGTAGAAAACCACAGAACAGCTTTTTCCAGAGGGGGTATCTAAAGTAATTTCAAACTCCTTTTGGTAATGTGACTGTTGACACAGTAAGACTAATCACCAAAAACATCACCTCAGTTCTTCATTAAAGCACCTTTACTGAAATCAGAAGCATTCTTGACTTTTAGCAGAGAAAAACCTTTTAGATTTTACTCTCATTAATATGTGAGTGCTTTTGATGACAAGGGAAATCACTGAGGTCTATAAGAGAGGACCTAGAGGACATGACCTAAGAGAACTGAAGAGCTTTCCTTACACATCTCTTTCCTAAACAGATTATTATTATTATTATTAATGTTTTGTGGTTTTTTTTCTTTGTTTTTGTTTTGTTTTGTTTTTCTTGTTTGGTTGGTTTCTTTTTTTTCCCCCTCCAAATACACTACCATCAAATTCTATGAATCCAACATATAGTTCCCAAAACATCTCAGATTGTGTCAATACACAGTTGTATATCAGACTGACTGATTTTCACTTTTATTTTTTTATTTTAACTTGAATATGAATCTTATCTTTATAAAACTGATTAAAGATTGCTACAACTTTTAGAGATGGGAAGACTAATTTTGCTTAAACAATGACAATATTTCATCCTCACTAATCCTGGAAAGAATTCCTGGAATATAACTGTAAAACAGTCATGAGGACTGGACACCTTTGCTCTGCTAGAGCTTAAGCACAAGCTTTACATTGTGATTCAGTCATTAACTGATGTGTCAGGATTGGCATAGGAGCTTTTTAGCTCCTATGAATCTTTGCTGACACTTCTTAATCCTGACCTCAAACATTCCACTCACTGCACTCTTTTGATCAGAAAACAATAATCAAAGCAAATTGCTTGCTAGTTTTACAGTACTAACAGCTACCCAAAATATACCAACAGAGACATCAAATTACTACATTTTCTAATTTGCACTATGACCTGGACTGTGAAAAGGGACATACATATGTGGTTTTGGCTTATTTGGGGAAGTTGATCTTATTTAAATTTCTAGCTGTGTTGTTTCTATGGAGGAGGAAAAAATTCTCAGTATGAGTTATTCACAATGTCAAATTTAACTGAAAACTAGGCAAAACATGATTCTTGCATGATTCACATATTCAATTAAAGACTACAGGGAAGTTTTCACTTTTCCTTCATTTTTGTAATGAAAACTATAAACTTCTTCATCTGCATTGGGGTTTAATTTCAAGGTACCTAACTCAAGAGTATATATTTTTGTAAGTGATGGCAAGGCTTTTGATTGGATGAAATACAAGAAAATAAGTGTTGCAAACTTTTGATACAAAAAGGTAATTTTCATAGCTTGTTTTTTGGCACACGAATAGTCCACAAAGATGCGGTAAGAGTTCTGTGGATAGCTCATAGTTATACAAGCTCATGCAGCAAAACATGCAACAGCTTAAATTAAAGTTATATATTAAAGCATTAATTGAAACTTAGATCTCAAACACACATACATGTGATAATAAGATAAAACATTGATCTCATATGACATTGCAACTTAAAACAAGTCTTTATGGTGGACTTATGCATATGATGGATAAGCTATAGAAAAGTCTTTTCTCCCAGGTATATCACTCTATTAGTTACTACAGGACTAGATTGATTAGATCTAAAGATAATACTGCTACTTATTTAGACAAATAAAGGCCTAATTTGAAACTGGTAAGTGAACAAGGAAAGCATGTTAGAAAAGGAAAGATCAAGGCACTGCAGACAACAATGCAATTTCAAAGTTCAGTTAGGGTATTCTTTATTTTTATTTTTATTTTTATTTTTATTTTTATTTTTATTTTTATTTTTATTTTTATTTTTATTTATTTTTATTTTTATTTTATTTTATTTATTTATTTATTTTTTTTTAATTCACACAGGTTATATGACCAAGTGTATGACTGTTAACAGCAGGCATATAGGCTGTCTTTGACACAAGCTCTCTGGGTTACCGAGGCTACAAACTGCAGATCTCAGCAAAGCTGTGCATTTAGGGCATTGAAATGAGACCTTTTTCCCTTGGGAGACCAATCTCTAACCCTATAGCAAGAAAGACAAAAGCTTGATGAGTTCATCTGAGACAACTGTGAGGCAACAGTGATCACATTTGGAAGTTTGAAGTAGGAACATTTGAGTTATTTCAACTGTTAGCAGTATTTCAAGGAAATTACATCAGGCTGTTTTGTATAAACATTGTAAATTGGTCACAATAGCAGGAAGAACAGGAATGTGTTGTCTCTTTCTCTGCCCTCACTCTAGACTGCTCCTGAAAACACAGTATTACTTTCCTGTCATTTCACAAATTGAGATACCAACAAACAAAAAAACCTATTAGTGGTCTATAAGTACCCCTTTTGACAAGAAACCAAACCTTTCTCTTCTGTCTCCATATTACCAAAGAATGCTGCATAGCATTAGCTGTTGACTTTTCACTGGACTTTTAAACCGGCATCAATCAATATATCCTTGGATCTTCCAGGCTGGATCAAAGTGGAAAATTACTCTATTTCTCAGCACTGTTAAGTTTCCAATTGTGTGTGTGGTCAGCAGCATACAAGTTTTTGCCAACTATGTTGAGACATGAATTCATCTGAAATTATGGTATAGGCCTAGTTTCTAACTTACTTTTGAGATATAATTGAGTGATTGAATTTAATAACATAAGTATACATCTAAAAAAATCATGGTTAGACTTACATACATAAACAATTTCTGATAAATTACTTAATACCTAAGTAATGGAAACTTCAGACAAATTAGAAAAGGAATTCTCTGTCCAGTGTTTTCCACAGAATGAGAAGAGGAGAGATCTAACAATATGTATATGATACTTACAGGAGAATTCAGTCATGTGATTTAAGATTATCAGCCTTTTCACAAAGCAAAGAGAAAAAGTATGTTCATACTTTATGTTCATAAGTTAAAGGGAAAATGTAGGTTTGGCTTCGAATGTGGACTGAAGGGTATTTCAGGTGACTGAATATTGCTTATACATTTGTAACTATATCAATTATCAAATTTGGTTTCATGAAGGTCTAAGATGAATGGCTTATATTACTGTTTCTCCTTTATTTTTTGTTTGTTTGTTTTGTTTTGTTTTGTTTTGTTTTATATAAGGTTAAAAATCATCTAGGAATTTCTGCAAATAAAATTGTCTTTCTTGGCATTTAGGAAAGGCACTGATGTTAGTTAACAACTGATAAGAGATCTCTTCTCCATAATTTCATGACAATACAGTCATGGGTTTTGATCATTTGTTATCTACATGGAGTTCATAAAAGGCTTCTGGATAATTGCATTTTTGTTGTTGTTTTTATGCAATGTATGGTTCCATATGAAATACATCTCACGTAGACTGTTCTGTATTAACTCATTATTTTAACTATGGGAAACAGGACAGATTGACCTTTGTTGTCCTCTAGAGAATTTTACTCCTAATTTGATTTGGGTTTTATTTTAACTAATTCAGCAGTTCCCCAGATTTATGTATTTATTTATTTAAAATTCCCAAAGCTATTCTGCTTGATTTATATGTTCTATTACACACTTCTCTAAAAACAGTGTAACATTAATGGCATAGACATCACAATAATTGCAGAGATACCAAAGTACCACCAAAGGTTCACAATGTAAGAACTGTCATTGCGTAGTACGAAGATAAACTTGAATATTTTTCTTCCAATAGTCCCTGTGACATTTTTGGAAGGGGAATATGACAGTATCAGTGACTGTTCAAAACAAGAACACATGGAGGAATTAAAAGAGAGAAGTTTTTATTGGTCTTGGGGTTCAGAACATTCTGCTGCAGCTTAGCATGAGACAGCATGCTCCTTCGCATGCTGACTGTATTTTTAGCAAAATTTCATTTTCAAATGTTTCTTTTACGAGAAAGAGGTTTTATCTTTTCTGTGGAGATTTCTTATTTCTGTAACCTCTGTCTTCCTTCTCTTTCTTGAATCCATGTCCGTTTCTTTTTTTTTTTTTGCTTACCTCTTCTTGAAATAGTTTTCACAAGGAATTTACCAAGACTTATTCATTACATTTATAAAGAGCCATCAAACGTCAAAAGTCCAACAAAGTGTCTGCAACTTGTAGTGAAGTAATAGGCAGAGCAGGCCTCATGAGTCAGCAGAAGAGTACAGCCTTTACTTATAAAGATGAGTCCAAGTGACAAAACTCTGGATTGTTAATGGAACATTGGCTGGTAAGGATGAGCAATACACATTGTCCTATTCTTGATTAGCTGATATGTTCTGAGGTGTTTGTTTGTTTGTTTGCTTGTTTTTTAAGATGCATTCTGATAGAAGAAATGGAGATATAGGTAAGACTAGTAGCATCCAGCTAAAGCAACAAGAAAAAATAAAGCTTTCAATTTTTTTCTGTTCTTGTTTTACTTCTGAATTTTACTTTTGCCCAGCTGAATACCTGAAAATTATTTCAGTATATCTACTCTTACAACTAATTTTTCCAGATGTGCTTCTGGGTAGATATGTGTATGTTTTAGATAAGAATGATTTCTAATGTCATACTTGAGACACTGAATAGGAGTAGTTTAGTCATTTGTGAACCATCCATTTGAAAAGCATATTGGAAGCAAAGAATGGGGTAAGTTTTGGGGTATTGTGGGTCTCAAATCTCTCTTTACAATGGAAGATTATCTGGTATGATATTTGACTGCTAAACTAATTATTCTTCTAAACAGGTATTATTCAGAACTTTGGATTTAAGCCTCCCATTTAAATACACTAAACTGCAGTCAAATTCACTTAATAGGATAAATCACAAAAAACAGTCAAGCGCATGTACAGCAGTAATGGATAAAATGAGTCAAATCACCTCAGCAGTTCTCAGAGGTAGTCATCCTTGAGAAGATATAGATTCTATGATTGCCTCCTTCCTGAGGAGGGATGCCAACATAGTTTTTTAAATAGTAACAAAGGAAGACATCAAAATTCAACATTGCACCATATTTCACCAACAGAAGATGCCATGTTTTGTGTTCAGTTCTTCATTTTTTGAGCAGAATTTCACTTACAATCTGATATATCCATATATCCATGATATATCCATATATCCATGATATATCCATCATGATATATCCATACGATTAAAAATAATAACACTAAGATAAAATAAATAAATACAACCAACAAAAACCACACAAACCAACATTTAAATCAAATTTCAAACTAAAGAGCACACATTAACAAAATATGGACTCAATTATATAAGAATAATTTCCTTATGGTGGAGTCTATTAGATTGTGGAATAGTTTCTCAAGGGAAACTGTGGAATCCTAATAGCTGGAGGTAGTTTAAGCTGTGGGAAGGAAATTTTAACTGGTTAATAGAGCTGGACAATGATTTTAAACATTGATTTTGTACTCTAATTTATGTGTAGCAAGGAGGGGGATACTCCATGTTGTACTGCTCTAACAAATTGACTTGTGAGCTTCAAAATTCAATGGGCAAAATGTGAGCAAACTGGGTAAACAGCACTGAAGGCAGATCTGAATATTTTCTGTGCATGTTTGTACAGTATAAATATTTCATACAGGATAGCTACAGACATGCAATTCATACAGTGAAAGTTTGTTTTAGATAGAACTCTGAACCTGCAAAATTTACTGCAGTAAAATGGTAATGCAATGATTTTAATTGACAATCCTACTTCAATTAACAAAACGTTCAGTATTCTTTTATTTCTCTTACCTTTCTTCCCCACTTTTATATTCCCTGGATATTTAATGCCTTACTTAGTGGCCTAGTGAGCATATGTTCTTGGTTAGGGACCATTGTTTATGAAATCGTTACAGGTTTTAGATTTCTATGTGGCAAGCAGAACACCCAGGCCCCTGGCTGGTAGCAATTGGAGCCATTCAGAGGTAAGTAAACATTAGAGTGAGGAATTTATGGGTCTACAGTTCAGCTCTGTAGTACAGCTCTCAATGTGGTGTTTGTTTTTTTTGTTTGTTTATTTATTTGTTTTCTTTAGTTTAGTTTTGATTAGTTTTGTTTTGTTTTTGTCTTTTGTGTGTGTGAATATATTGCTTGACTTCAAACACAGCTGAGCAGTACATGGCTGTAGGTAGAAAAGAACACCATCTGGAAATAATAACTGCTTAGCCATTAGTCTAAAGCCTATAGTAAGCCCTAAAAGAATATTCAAGTTTAAATCAAGAAAGTTGTTCTAAGTGAATTGCCCAGAGCATCTCACTCTATGCAAATAACTAGGATAAAAGAAACAAGGCAGAAGGAGACATAATTAGAGGACTGCAGTACAACATTTCAGTTACTTAATGAAAAGGAAAGAAAACATATTTTCCTGGTCAGCCAAAAAATCTATGAGTGGCAATTGGGATTATGTTAACAATAACAAAATTACATAGAAATGCACATGCAGAAAATATTGTCCTTCCTTTGCCATGCCGTGTATCCTCTAGTATCACAGAAGAATGTGGAAATTTTCCCATGATATTACATTAATTGTCATTCATTTTTTAGAAATGTCCTATTCTGATGTTAGGGGAAAAATCCATATAATCAATGTTCCTTTCAACTTTTTTTATCATTTCCGCCTTCCTGAATGTACTGCACCTTTTAAGTTTACATAACTGTCTTAAATGACACAAGGAATAGATACAGCTTTTGCAAGCATGGATAAGAATGGGTCAGTGGATTTGTCATCATTAGTGACAGAAAGGCAATTCTCAAGGCCACATACATATAAAACAATGGTGTCCGAAGACAATTATGCAATCAACTTCACCATTATTTAGGCATATGCCGAAGCTAAAGAAAGTATTCAATCAAGGAAGATCTCAGAGAGTTCTCTTCTGAAAAGCTCTGATAGCTATTTTTTATAGTTTGGCTTGGATAGAGTTAATTTTCTTCTTAGAGGCTTGTATCATCACAGTATATTGTGGTATGAATTTTTGATTAAAATATTTGTGTTAAGACACCTATGTTTTCTGTTGTTGCAGGGCAGTACTTACACAGAGCCAAGGACTTCCTTATAGTAGGACTTTCTACTTCTCGTGACCCAGGGTCACCACCAACAAGACGCGCTAACAGGACAGACTTTGGCAGTTAGCGCAGGCAGTTTGTGCAGGGCAATTCAGGCAGGGCAGAGAGGAGTGCAGGGAGGATCCTCTCTTCCCTTTCTTACATCCCCTTCTCTTCCTTTCTTCTCCTCTGGGAACTCTATCTTTTCTAACTTATAATTCACCATAGTGGGCACCCATTGCAGCAGCTGGACCGAGGCAGCAACCCAAACTGAGGGGACATGGCCTCTCTGGGCTCATGTGGGCACCCAGGTGCCCTGAGGGGCGAAGTGCCAGTCTAGACTGGTGACTGTGGGGAACTCTGGAATCTGGAGGTCCCCCTGGGTCCTGAGGGAAGAGAGGGTGGTTGTGGGTGCACCTGTTGTGGGTGCAGGTGTGCCCTGCTCAAGGAACTGTTTGAGAAGATGGCCGGGCTGCAGTGAGAAATCAGCAGGAGACTGATAGGAAGTGTCAGCCTGTCCCTGCTGAGGCCTGGCAGCCCCCTCCTAAGTCCCTGCAAGAGGTAGTTGCCCATCCAGCCGCTTACCTGCAGGACAGTTCTTGCTTCTCCTAATAAAGTGATGAAAGAGTGGCTCCCATTTCACCTTTATTGGGTTACAGATGCTGAGGAAGAGAGATTAATAAGAGAGACCCATCTGAGGCACAACAGAAAATTGACCGGTGTTGAACAAATAAGAATTCAAAATGTCACTGACTGTTTTTTTTTTCTTAAATCATCTGTTAGTTTCTTCTGACACACATAATCTCCTATTTATCTGTATATAGAATAAGCATTAAAAAAAAAAAAAGTCAGTACTTTGTCTTCTTACCTGAATAAATAAATAAATAAATAAATAAAATGTTAGATCTCTTGGACTGTACAGCTGTGAAAATATTCCTGATACAAAAATATACCATTCACACACAATGAAATTTTTACAAAAAATGAAAGAGGGCACAGTATAAGTAGCCTCAGTAGCAATTCAACATGAAACAAGTTTCATCCTAGTCAGTACTTTATATGGTTTGCCTCATTGTAGTATACAGAAGCACTCCAGACATATGTTAAAGAAGATGAACAGTAATATTTACAAAACAACTATGTATCAGGGAATTTCTACTAATATTTTGAAAAGGAACTTAGTAAAAAAATTCTACCAAATCAGGAAAAAAATTTTTAAAAAGTGCCAATCCAGTTATTTCTGTTTGCTTGTTTATTTAGGGCTGCAGAAGGAGAAAGTTCTAAGTTATTCATAAGATGATGAAAGGATGATAATCACAGTATTCATTTAGACAGTCATATCATTAACAGGATAAAATTAACTCTTTAACTTTACAGGAGATCTGTTGGTTGTTCAGGAAAATTTCATCCTTTTTCAAGCAGACTTAGCTTTACCTGAATTGATGTGTTGTGTTCTAGGTTCTTCTGTGACATGAGTAATTGAAAAATCAGCATATTGATATGATATTTAATTTTTATGTTTTTTATTCCCTCCACCCTAAGCCTAACAGTATATCATACTCAAATGATCTACTTGGCATTGCATAACCCAGAAAAGAGTGAATGATCTTTGCCTCTTTTAAATGAGGAGAAATTACGTAGTTGTCTAAATTTCTAAGTGGAAAATAGGATTGAAAAAGCATTTCGTCTAAACTAGACAAATATGTATTTATGTCTATCTTTATATGTCCATAAAGTATAATTATCATAAGTTTGTTATCTGTCATTATGAATAGCTAAGAGAACAATGCCCTATTAATTTCTATCTTCTCAAGAACTTTATCACAACAGACCAGTAAAGTACCTGACCTAAAACATTCTTTATTGGTCATATCCTTTCTCCCTGACATTGTTCCTGAGCTCTTGAACCAAAAGACAATTGTTTTCACTTACCCTTTACACAGGCGCAATTTTCATTTACTTTAATGGGAGTTTTGCTTGGTCTGATTCTCTGTCATCCATATGATACAGAGGAGTAGATTGCAGAGATGTTTGTAATGGCCTTTAAAACTGTCAAGAGCCCAAATGAAAATGATGTTATCTCAGAGACAGCTTTTGTGCAGCAGTCATTTGATTTAGAGCATTGTCTGTTAACTCTCTCTCTCCAGTACACACAAGAGCTAAACTCCTCTGCATGTTCTGTATTTTCCTCCCTACTTCTATAGTGTGTGCATCTGTGTTGCTGCTTTGTGTTTCTGCTCCTGATTTGAAAACAAAGTGATGTTAGATGATTCAAAATCCCTCACCATAGCAGGATCTTCTGCGCAGGACAGTAAAATTGGCCTATCAGCTTTAAGGAGACATATTCTTATGTAGTCCATAATGCTGACCATGCATTGAACTTTCAGTTCAGTAGTAAGTAACATCCAAAGCTATTTAATGATTACAGTGCTCCTTACCCTCAAGCACTAATTATAAAATCAAATGGAAGGACATATTCTTATGACAAACATGATGTAGACAAGAGCAGTATAGGCCCAGAAATGTACAATTAACAAACAGTTATTCAGGACTTGTGCAAAGCATTTTACACTGTCCTGCATGATATCCTTGTCTCTAAATTGGAGAGACATGGATTTGATGGATGGACCAATTGGTGGGTGTAGTGGGTTTACGTGGCAAGGCTTTGGTAGCAGGGGGCCATAGGGGTGGTTTCTGTGAGAAAGATCTAGAAGCTGCCCCATGTTTGGGAAGGGCCCCGTTGTTTTCCAGATCTGAGCCAATAAGCGATGTTGTTTTGCGCCTCTGTGAGAGCATATTTAAGACAGGGAAAAAACTGCTGCGCCACACAGCAGCCGGGAGAGTCAAGGGAGTGAGAAACAGCCTTGCAGGTGCCAAGGTCAGTGTAGAAGGAGGGGGAGAGGTGCTCCAGGCGCCGGAGCAGAAGTCCCCTGTGGCCTGTGGTGAGGACCATGGTGAAGCAGGATGTCCCCCTGCAGCCCATGGAGTACCACGGTGGAGCAGGGTTCCACGCTGCAGCCCGTGGAGGAGACCACAGCGGAGCAGGTGGCCCTGCACCGACGGAGGCTGCCGCCTGTGGAAGACCCCTGCCGGAGCAGATTCCGGGCCGGACCTGTAGCCCGTGGAGAGGAGACCACGCAGGAGCAGGTGACCTGGCAGGAGCTGCTGCCCGTAGGGGAGCCAGGTTGGAGCAGTTTTCTCCTGAGAGATGGACCCCGTGGTACGGACCCATATCTGGAGCAGTTCTGGAAGAGCTGCTGCCTGTGGGAAGCCCACGCCGGATCAGTTCGTCAAGGACTGCATCCCGTGGGTGGGACCCCACAGCACAGGGGACGAGAGTGACCGAGAAGGAGCGGCAGAGAAGAAGTGCTGTAGACTGACCATAACCCCCATTCCCCCGTTCCCCTGCGCCGCTCGGGGGGAGGAGGTGGAAGAGGGTGGATGGGGGGGGAAGGTGCTTTTGGTTTCTTTCCTTTGTTTCTCACTTCTCTAGCTTGTTAGTAATGAGTAATAAATCTTACTATCTGTCTTCTTATGCTGAGTCTGGTTTGCCCGTTACACTAATTATTGCGTGATTTTCTCGTCCTTATCTCAATCCTCGAGCCCCTTTCACATATTTTCTCCCCATTCCTCTTTGAGGAGGGGAGTGAGAGAGCGGCTGTGGTGGAGCTCGGCTGCCCACTCGAGCAGAACCACGACAGTGGGTAAGTAATTGGCTGGATGGTTGCACTCAAAGAGTTGTGGTCAATGGCTCAATATCTAGGTAATCAGTAATGAGTGGTATTCCTCCGGGTATTAGGACCAGCACTATTTAACTTCTTTGTTGGTGACATTGACAGTGGGATCGAATGCACCCTTAACAAGTCTGCTGATGATATCTAGCTGTGTGGTGTAGTTGACATGCTGGAGAGAAGGGATGCCATCCAGAGGGACCTTGAGAAGCTTGAGAGGTGGGCTTGTGCAAAACTCATGAAGTTCAGTATGGCCAAATGCAAGGTCCTGCACCTGGGTCAGGGCAATCCCAAGCACAAGTACAGGCTGGGTGGAAAATGGATTGAGAGCAGACCTGAGGAGGAGGACTTTGAGATGTTGGTTGATGAGAAGCTCAACATGGCTCAGCAATATGCGCTTGCAGCCCAGAAAGCCAACCGTATCCTGGGCTGCTCCAAAAGTGTGTGACAAGAAAGTTGAAGAAGGTGATTCTCATGATTCTCCTCCTCTGCTCTTGTGAGACCCCACCTGGCATCCTGCATTCAGCTCTGAGGCACCCAGCAAGTCCAGAGGAAGGCCAAAGGATCACAAGGATGATCAGAGAGCTGGAACACCTCTCCTGTGAAGATAGGCTGAGGGAGTTGTGGTTGTTACACGTGAAGAAGAGAAGGCTCTAGGGAGCCGCTATAGCAGCCTTTCAGTACCTAAAGGGAGTCCACAAGAAAGCTGGAGAGGGACCCTTTGTCAGAGAGTGCAGTGATAGGACAAGGAGTAATGGTTTTAAACTTTAAACAAAAATATAAAAAAAATATAATAGATAGGGAATTAAATAGGGAATTAGATATTTACTATGAAGGTATGAAGCTAGTGAGGCACTGGAACAGGTTGCCCAGAGAAGCTGTGGATGCCCCATTTCTGGAAGAGTTCAAGGAAAGTTTGCATGGGGCTTTGATCAACCTGGTCTAGTAGAAGGTTTCCCTGCCCATGGCAGGGAGGTTGGAACTAGATGATATTTAAGGTACCTTCCAACACAAGCCATTCTTTGATTCATTCTATGATTCTTCTGAAAAGAAGCCAGTCAAATCTAAAATGATTTTCTAAGTAACAGAATGACCTATTGAAAGTCTAAACAAATTTTCAGTCTTCAGAAGGAGTGAATACTGTGATCACTTCTGTATTGCTAGTGTACTGTACTAAGTTTTATTGTTGCCTTCTGCTACAGAGCTTCTTACAGTGAGCACTCTATAATCAAACTCTACAGGAGAATAGAAATGCATTGCAAAGAGAATATATTTGGACACTATTTCTTCTGTGCGACTAAATCAAAGCCTTTCAATGTTTCTAGTGTATGGCATTACTGAATGAAAAAAAACGTGAAAACTTATTTTTAAGCTGTCATAGTGTACTAAATGAAATTTTGTATATAAAATCAAGGACTTCCATACATTATAGAAACTACCAAAAAAAATCAATGATTTGTCCCAGTTACCTTCAGTATTCATGACATTGTTATATATTCAAAGTATGGTGCCACTGCAGAATGGCATCAAAGGCTGAAGGCTTTAATTCATTCGCTGTTTCATAGGAGATAAGAGACTTCATAAAATTTGGAACTAAGCAGAAATAATAATGCATGCTGATAGGTATTTTTAAGTTTCTAAAGTATAATATGACCTTTGTCGTGGTTTTACCCGGCTGGCAGCTAAACACCACGCAGCCGTTCGCTCACCCTCCCCCCTCCCTCTTTGGGACGGGGGAGAGAAATGGAAAGTGAAGCCCGTAAGTTGAGATAAAGACAGTTTAATAAGACAGGAAAATAATAATAACAAAATAATAATAACAATAATAATAATAATAATACAATGGTGATAATAGGAAAGTAATAATAATATGTACAAACAAGTGATGCACAATGCAATTGCTCACCACTCGCTGACCGATGCCCAGCTTAACTCCGAGCAGTCCGGCCCCCTCCCCCCGGCTAGTCACCCCTATATATTGTTTAGCATGACGTCAGATGGTATGGAATACCCCTTTGGCTAGTTTGGGTCACCTGTCCTGGGTCTGTCCCCTCCCAGCTCTTACTGCACCCCCAGCCTGCCCGTTGGCAGGACAGAGCAAAAGGCTGAGACGTCCTTGGCTTGGTATAAGCACTACTCTGCAACAATTAAAACATCGTGGTGTTATCAGCACTCTTCTCATCCTAAGCCAAAACACAGCATTCCACCAGCTACTAGGAAGAAAATTAATTCTGTTCTAACTGAAACCAGGACACCTTATAGAATGACTTAAGAATTACACAGTTGAGAAAATTCAAAATGTCTATGTAATATGTCATTAAAAATTAAGTAAAGAACTCAAGATTTTTTTGTATAAAAATTTTTCATCATTTGTTCAAACACAACCATATCTGGTATCATAAGCAAATGCCAACAAAGTACTATGCATCTAGTACTTTGTCATTTTAATTGTTTAACTGGTTTAATTGTCATTCCTGAGAAGTTTTTCAATTATAACTGCCAGAATTAATATTGAGAAACCTTTATGAATTTAGAGTTGAATAAAATTTTAAATCTAAATGATCCAATATCCTGAAAAAATAATTTATTTCAATTTCAGACTCGGGAATCTAGGCTGCAAAATCAGAAATGAACACTAAACATGGAGAAACTATAATCACAAATAGAATATTTTCTCACTACAATGATGCCTGGTTAGAATCTGTTTAGTTACCTAATTCCTTGCTTTGGACACACAGAAAGAAACAATTTTATAGCATGGCAATTTGAGTGTGATGCTTGTGACCAAAAAAGAAAAAAAAAATAAAAATTGTGACTTCTATGAAGATCAAAATAATCTGATTTTGATTGTGTACTGCTTAGAAATTATGTTTTATAGTGTAATTAATTCAAAAAATGACCGAATCTGGTATAGGCATATAGATTAAGAACTGGCATATAGATCAGCTGAACATTACAGAGTTAGCAAGTAATAACAACCACCCTGATACAGGAGAAAATACCAAATAAAACAAGGTAAAATCAATGCTTCCTTTATTCCCATCACATGCAGAACCTACAGAGAACTTAGTGATTCTTTACTTCATTGTGGTCAGGAGTGGAAAACCACAATTTAACATTAACATTTGAGAAAAAAAGAAAAAAAAAGTTACAAATGTTTATGATATTTATTGTTATAAATATGAAATGGTAAAAACATAGATTTTTTTTTTTTTTGTATTGGTCTTACTACATTGACTCATAAAGGCCTGTGTGTGGGTGTCAGTGTAGATGTGTGTTCACATGTGCGCTCTCCTCAGGAATTTTCCCTTCTCAGAG